TTTATTTTATTTTTTTAATAAAATAATGTTGTTTTATGAAGAAAAAAATAAAAATATATATATATTTGCAGTGACCCCCTTTGACCCCTCTGACCCGGGAGTCACTGAAACCCGGCCGGGTTTTGGGGGTCAGAGGGGTTGATATGCATATAGCGTCCAACTTGTAACCCCAACCATCAAAGGGGAGGGGTCAGGGTTGACCCGGGTCAACCGGGGAGCGGGGTGAGGTTTTAAAACACTGCTCAGGAGCTCCTTATTACAATCTACAATGGCATTTATAACTTACTAAGTTCCAACTATCCTTTCTGTTGTAGAGTCAACTTGACTTTGGTCCCCATGGAAAATCTTTGCCATGCCAAAATCTGAAATCTTTGGATTCATTTCGTCATCTAATAGGACATTACTAGCCTTGAGATCGTGATGTATTATTCTAAGACTAGAATCTTCATGGAGGTATTTAACTCCTCCAGCAATCTCAACTATAATTTGGTAACGTGTTGCCCACCAAGCTCTGCTTGGTTCTCATGATCTACAAATTAGTCAAATTGTAATATTCAAGTTAGCAATAAATTGAGTTATGTAGAAGAAATAGTTCATACAATAACATTAAAAACCAAACCAGAACAACAGAGTCCAAAAATTACAAACCACATAGAAAGCGGTCAAGGCTTGAATTGGGGATGAATTCGTAAACAAGTATCCTCTCTGCTCCCTCCAAGCAAAACCCTAAAAGCCTAACTAAATTTCTATGTTGAAGTGCAACAAGTGCAGCCTCGTTCCTGAATTCTATGTCACCCTGCAAGGAGCTTCTGGATAGCCTCTTTGCAGCTATCTCTTGTCCATTAGGAAGGGTACCCTGAAAACATGCATGAGATTAGAATAGCTCCAGTCAGCATAAATTAGCATACGAGCATGACAACATGTTTCCTTATAATTTCTTTTTACCTTATAAACCACACCAAATCCACCTTGGCCTATCTTCTTCTCATTCGAGAACCTATTTGTTGCAGCTTCAATTGTAGCCAAGTCAAAATGCAAAGACTCTTCTTGACAAGTAAAATAATTCCTAGTTACGGTAAAAAGTAAGTTAAGCAAAATTACTAGCATGCTATTGTTCGTGCTTTGAAATAGATAAATAGTAAGAGCAATAACAATTACTGCTATCTCCCATTTCTAGATCTGCATCATGGTTTTTGTTTCGCCTTCTTCTCCAGCAACAGCAACAGCCTAGAACCAAAAGCGCCACCAAAATAACATTTGGCACAACAATTGCTACAATTGCTACAATCGTTGAAGCACATATGTTTCCTGCCCAAGGTAACCTCTTTTAAGATATGCAAAAGTGGCAAATGCTTTACAAACTCAAATGAAGAGGAGTGGACACAAAAAGGAACCAACTTCCTCCTCAAAGACCACAAAAAACCTTGACTTGACAATAGATTGATGAAAACTGAGTATTATAAAAAGAATAAAATTGAAGAATGAAGACCACAAGAAACTCGATCAAATATATATGTATACCTGAAGAAGGGGAAGGAACTAGTGGTGTCATTGAAGTCATATTCAACAAAAAAGCATACAAGCGAAATAGAAAAATGGCTATTGGGATTGCACAAAAGAGTAACTTCTCAATTTCAATTAACAAAATAATAATATTCAAGTCCTATAATATGGGTCGTAAGCACCTTTTTATAGACTAATTATAAATGGGTTTACTTTTTCTGCAGTTAATGCAGATAATTTATCTGCAGTAAGCCCAATATGATAATGATATTTTTGTAATTTTAATTTATTTCAGGGTTATAATAGTCTTTATATTTAAATTTTTTAAAATTTCAATACCAAAACGACTTCGTTTTGAAAATAAATGCAGATAATTATCTGCATTAACTGTAGAGAACATTTTTCCCATTATAAATTGATTCAAAATATAAAATCTAAAATTCTAACAATAATAAAACTTCCTAAAATAAATATAACATTAATTAACATCTACAAATAAATAATTCAAAATACATCTCAAATCTTTAATCTCAGATCACATCAGATATGTTGCTTTCCTTTTCTTTCCAAACAAATCACAATCACATTTGCTGCTATACTGGGACTTGGATTCGATTGTAATTTGTTATATTTCAAATTACTGCTTCTTTTAACATTTGAGTCATATTTATTAGGCCACAATTCTAATTGACTATGGGTTAGGGGTGTAAATGGGCTGAGCTAGGCTAGACTTTGGCTTAAATAGGCCAAGCCTGTGTAAAAAGCATTGGGTATGGCCTGACCTATGAGCCTGTGTAGGCCCCAAATTACAAGTCTGACCTATATTTAAAAAATAAAAACTTTGGCTAGGCCTGTTAGCCTGTTTAAGCCTATTAATCTTTCAAATAACTAAAATAATATTATTTTATTATTCAAAATTATAATAATAATAATTTTATTTATTATAATTTAAATAAATAATATGATATAAGCCGGCCTGTAGGCTTATAGGCTAGACATGTACAAAAAAGCCTATGGCCTATTTTCTAAATAGGTATTTTTAAAAACCTGATCTATTTTATTATTAATGTGTGGGGCCTAGGTCAATGGGTATTGCTTCTATTCTACAGTGGGTTGGATAAATATAATTTGGGTTTGATGTATGTTTAGGGTTATCATAGACTTTTTTATTACAATTTTTTAACTTAAGACGACGTTGTTTTGGGAGCGAATGTCTACATTCACTCTAGAAACATTAAAGCCATGTTTTAAAGGACATAAATTATGTCATTTTAGCATAGAGATAGACAAACACAAAGAAAAGAAATTATAAGGGAAAAAATGGGTATTTTTTTAATTTAAATTTTAAATAAAAAAGATATTATTTTATGTCTATCTCTTTCTTAAAATAACATAACTTTATATCATTTGAAATCACAAACACTTTTTCCTAATTTTCGAAATCACCATTTAGGTAAAAAGTTGCCCACCCTCTTCTAAAATGAGTAAAATTATATTTCTCACAGTTCATGGGCTTCTTGTAATTTTTTTTATTTTTTTTGGAGAATGGCTTCTTGTAAATTTGATTGCTTGTATATAAACTAATTTGGATTACAGTTGCGCAATGTTTAACTCTGAATTGAGATTGATGGGTTTTTGTTTTTTTTCTTTTTCATGGAGTGTTTCATGAAAGAATGGTTTTTATGAAGGTACTACTAAGTTTATGTGCTGGTTTTGTCTTTCAGTACTTATCAGTGCTACTGCCAGTTATATCTTGTTTTGCTACAAGCATTGCCATTGGAGGTGAGTGTAAGTTTTACTCAAAACGATTTAATAGCATACCATGGGTGAATTTTTGTTTTCATCTTGGGGAACTAGACTACTGGTTGAAAATCAACCGAAGAAGAATTTGAAGCCCATGTTATATTTGATATATGACATCAATCAGGAATTGAAAACTGAAATGTGGTTTTTTATCCGAGTGTGTATTCATATGGTTTGAACAATCGACAATTAAAGTTCACAATTATAGGATACCTGAAATGTGGTTTTTTAACCCAATGAAAGTTCAACATGGATTTTGCTATATACTTTGGTAGTCTATCTTGCAGCCAAGAAGGCTAGTATTATAATAAGCCATTAATTATGGCATATGAGGCTGGTTCTTTTTTCTTTTTTTCTTTTTTTCTTTTTTCAATTGTATAAAAATTAGTCAACTTTGTAGATGTTGCCAATGATAGACACGTGTCAGGTAGATACCATAAACTACATACGCAGAAAAAGAAAAAGGTCATATTTGAAAGGTCCTGACATGGAAGAAATTTTACATAGGTTAGTCTTCGGCAAGATAACATAGGGGATAATTGCGCATTTTATATAAAAAGAAAAAATCATGAGGCATTTGACATGGCCTGTATCTATCTAAGTGATTGTGTACAAGTCATCTTGATTGAGGAAAAAGATCATCCTCTGTTAATCAAGATAGACTAGAATAACATTATTTTACATTTTCACATGGTATATCGTGCTAGGGATGGATTTATTCGAGTGAAAAGTTTATCTGAATAACTTCCTTTGGACTTTAGTGAACATGTTCTTCTCACAATTTTCATTTGCAGATAACCTTTTAAGATAGTCAGGAGCTTAATCTCCATTTTGTTGGCATCTTTGTGCTGCTCTAAGAAAACTGTTTACTTTTGAAAATAATTTGTTTCCAGATTTGGCGAGTCTTTGATGTCATTTTATCTTGGTTTTGCAAAGCATTACCCATGAAGAGAGGATTTAAGCAAGTCATGTACTGATATTTAATTAACAACGAAGCTGTCAAGGTACCAACTTGTAGGTCAGTAACCAATTAAAATGTGCTAATACACATTATTGTACCAATTTACATAGTCACAACTAAGAGAGTCATGTTAATACATTCTACACCATCATCATTTGGATTTAAAAAACAAGTCTGATAGCAATTGTTGCATAGAATTTAAAACATTATAAACCACTGATCCATCAAAATGAATACCATCAATATTCAAATAACAATCATTTTAAAAACAGTCACTTAGTATTGATGAAGAAATCCAATTCTGATATGACACGACCAAAACTTCCAATTGGTTCATTTTGAACAAAATCATGTCATATTCAACTAATTAGGAATTTCATTTAATAAAAACATATACATTTGTAAGAATTCGATATATATGTCACTGCTATCTGCCAGGGCTGCATTATGGATCTTGTAATAATAGCCCAGAATGAAAAGCACCACGAAAACAATAACAAGGACATAAGACATTCCTATTTCCTCAACAAAGTAGTCCAATACAGAAAAATGAAGACATTATTATCAAGCACCTAACTTCCTCTCAAATTTCCCAGCATAATGAGAAGCCACAACATTTGTGAACAACATATCTAATCAGCGAGCAGGAACCATTGGCGACAGATGATGTTGCTTTTATATTGTAAAATGGGTACAGTTCATACCTAATTTTACAAAAACCAGAAATGCACTGCGCCAGGCCATACAGGGTCTTGGACTTGCTGTGACGAACTTCTTATGTGTCTGGGAACTCGCAGCTTCTGCTACTAAATCATTCAACATGCTGGCCAATGATGGATCAAACTGGTTCCGATCAGTGCTTGCTATGTTTTACTGATCTGAAACAAATTGGTGGAGACTGCAAATTATTATGGTCTCCAAGGGAATCATGCCTTTATCTATGCTGCATTTGCATCCAGCATGAGGATTATAAGGATTTAAAACCAAAAGAATCTGCAATCAGTGGTCGTAATTTTTACTATTCATCAAACATAATTATTTTTAGCCACTAATATTTACAATACATATTGACTAGGTACGTGTTACATAACGGCATGGTTTGACAAGATTTGAACATAAAGTGGATGGATTGAAGAAAACATAATAAAACCTATCCTTTATCGAGGGTATACTTCAGTAATGGATACTTCATTATTAGACCACAGAATTGAACTGGTGGCGGACTCATCAGAATGAAGCCCATTTTTTAGCATGTCAGGTGTCCTTCCATGCAGGAAAGATGCTGGTTTTCGAGGTAATGACAAGGTAACTGAATAACTGTTCAACATAAGTGAAATAGTTGCCATCGAAGGCCTGTCGGATGGATTTTCCTGAATGCACAATAAACCAATATGGATGCATCTGATGACTTCATTTCTTGAATAAGAATCTCTCAGGGTTGGATCCAGCAACTCCAAAGGTGTTTGCTCCGTCCAATTTTTCCAAGCCTGTGGCAATATACTGTTAGTATTCAAATTTGGAATCTCTCATTCCTCACCCATTGAAATATTTAACTAGGCATTGCAGTTGAGCTTGGTATCATTAGAGAAGAAGAAAGCAGTTACACTTGTTTATACTCACATAGCTTAGGAGGTCATCGGCATGTTTAGTTTGACAAAAATCAGTGTTCTTCTTGCCACTCACAATCTCCAAAACTAAGACACCAAAGTTGAACACATCTGATTTCACAGAGAATTGTCCACGCATTGCATATTCTGGAGACATGTAACCACTGAAAAAAAAAAATTATCAATCCACATGTTCAGAAAATAATGATAACATTTTTGGAAAGAAGAATATACTTATTTTCACATATTTTAACTGACCATGATTATTAAAGGGGAGCTAATAATATATGTAATAGGAGATGACAAAAAGGCCTCCAACTTACTACGTTCCAACTATCCTTCCTGTATTTACTTGAGTCTGATCTGCTTGGAAAATTTTTGCCATGCCAAAATCTGAAATCTTTGGGTTCATGTTTTCATCTAGTAGAACATTGCTAGCTTTGAGATCACGATGTATAATTAGAAGCTGGGAATCTTCATGGAGATAAAGAATTCCTCGAGCAATACTAACTATGATCTTGTAGCGTCCTGACCAATCTAACTCTCTTTGCTTTACAGGATCTACAGAATTTGTCAAAATGAAATATCCAGATTAGCAATTGCAGGATTACTATAATTTCCGTTTATAAAGAGCTTATAACCCCATCTTATGTGGCTGTTCTTTAATAAGGGAAAAGATAACACCATGTGAATACTATAAACTGATTCTACTTTTGAGGTGTCTTTTCAGGGCAACCAATCATCTATACTAATAAAGAAGTAAAAGAAGAATTGAAAGTGTCCAACCAAATAGAAAACGATCAAGGCTTTTGTTTGGTATGTATTCATAGATAAGCATCTTCTCCTGCCCCTCCAAGCAAAATCCCAACAGCCTCACTAAATTTCTATGTTGAAGCTTAGCCACAAGGATAGCTTCATTCATAAACTCTACTGTACCCTGCAAGGAGGTTACCGACAACCTCTTCAATAAGTCAATGAAGCAACTTTTCTAATTGGACAGTGCGCGGGACAAGTTGGATTGCATTGACCATGAAACGGAAGGAAGGTTGAGGCTCATGAAGAGTTTTTTTTTTTTTGTCAGGCTCTTGTTAAAAGGGGACAAAAAATATAATGTGTTTTTTTAATTTATTCTAAAGTATTTAAATTTCTTTAAATGTAGGATTTAAAATTAATAATAAAAATTTATTTAAAATTTAATTTTTTTTTAATTACATTTGTAAGTTTTTCAAAGATAATTTTTTGATGTCATTTTATCTTGGTTTTGCAAAGCAATACCCATAAAGAGAGATTTAGAGGGCGTTTGATAGAGGAAGAAAATTTTTTTACTAGGAAAATACAATTATTAGAGAAATGGTAGAAAAATAAGTTTGATAGAAAAATTTAAAAAAAGTTGTTTTGTTGACTGAAATATTACTGGGAATATTTATTGCAAAGTCTATGTTAAATTGAATGTAAAACAATGATAGGAAAATAGGTTAAATTGAAAAAAATACCCCATTATAAATTTTTTAAAGAACCATTAAAAATGAGTCTCTTTTACTTATCGGTACTAATCAAAGCAAGTTGACACTTACCATCCCTCCTTGTCCCTCTCCTAGTTTTTTTTTTATTATTACTTCTTACAAAATTAAAACAACCATGGTTTGCTATTTTTCCATTACTTCTTAATCAATGCAAGTCACTCACTATGAGGGTCAATTTGGTCCATAACTTTTCTCCCATTTTTCCATTTTTCCATCTACCCCAAAATACCATATCTCAAATGGTTTTTTGGAATAGTAAAAATCAACACAAAAAGAGTTTCCTATGCTTCCTAATCTCCTAATATATTTTTGAGTAAATACCATTTTTGGTCCCTAACAAAAAACACGGTACTCATTTTAGTCCCTTACAAAAAAAAATTAGTCTCGAGGTCCCTGACAAATTCAAAGTGGACCCATTTAGTTGAAATCGTGGTCCCTCACAAATTCAAAAAAGACCCATATTAGTCCCTTAAAGTGGGTACCGTTTTTTTTTGTTAGGGACCCAAAAGGGTATTTACTCTATTTTTTTTTTTGCAAACTTGTACCAAACATGGTATTTCTCTATATCCACTTTCACTTTCCCATCAAACTCAAAATAAAACCTATACCAAACACATCCTTAAACAAGTTATATGTACTGATATTCAATTAACAGGGACGTTGTCAAGCTACCAACCAGGAGGTCGGTAACCAATTGAAATGTGCTACTACACATTATGGTACCAAATTACCAATATACATAAGCACAACTAAGAGAGTCATGTTACCCCTAAAAAAAATTCGTAATTATGTTCTGCTAGTTTACTATGTGTTTAATGAAGAATAACATGGCTTTTCGACCCTTATAACCTTTTATTAATAATTAATTATCTAATTGACCTTCATTATAAATTATTTCAAAAATTTAACTTTCTTAAAAAATATAACATCAATCTGCCCCTGTTTGACCGTTGACCACCATGTCTACTCGGGTACACCCCTCCCTACACCCGGATAGGGAGGGGTGTACCCGGGTAAATTTATATATCAACACATAAATTTTAAAATTTAACAATAAATAAAAGTGAGAATAGAAATTATTTACCGAATAAAAAGTAATCAAGACTTTTATTGGGCACAAATTCATAAATAAGCATTTTCTCCTGTTCTTCCAAGCAAAATCCTAATAATGTCACAAGATTTCTGTGTTGAAGTTTTGCTATTAACAAAACCTCATTCTTGAATTCTACTACACCTTGTCGTGAACTTTACGAGAGTTTTTTTACAGCTATTTCTCGTCCATCTAAAAGAACACCCTGAAATTATAACCAATCAGTTAAGTATGAGAAACAAGCATACATATTCATTTTTCATTACATTTCATCACCTTGTAAACCTCTCCAAATCCACCTTTTCCTATTTTGTTTTCATAGGAAAACTTATTTGTGGCAGCCTCAATTGTGGCCAAATTGAACAGTAGCGATTGTATTGTGCCACTTTCATCCCCAACTACAGCAACATCAAGTTAGGAAAGTCAAAAATCACCAAATTAACCTTCTAAATCAAGAGTTGAGAAAGGATTTGAGTTTTCGTTTCAAATTACTAACAATTTTCCCTTAGAAGAGTCTTATCATTTTTCCTTGATCTTCTCAGTAGAAAATAGCACACGAAACACAACAGAATTATCGAAATGGCAACAAGGACAGCAATCAAGACAATTTTTCGAGGTCCAAATTTCTTCTTTCCTGCATAAATAATTGTAGAGAAAAAAATTCAAGCTTTAATAATTAAAAAATAAAAAGGCTAATATTTTATATCTATTTATAAACTATATTATTGTTAATTCTCAATCAGAAAAGCTCTTTTTTGGACACTCAAGTTTCAATCTATAATCTTATAAAGTTAATTAAGCTCCATGACAAAAAATTTGATTTAACTAAAATGCAGTTCAATATTTTTACTTACGCTACTGACATTGATTAGTATTGACCTTACTTTATTTCATATGAATAGGTATTTATTAAGGTCATGTTAGAAGAATTTTGTGGTCATGAAAGATGGCACATGTATATTGCGAAGAATTCATTTACAGTTTTTTTTTTTTATAAATTACACTAAATATAATCGGTCATACTCAGTGTAATTTGTAAAAAAAAAAATTGTAAACGAATGCGCACTGTCTTCGAACTTTCCTTGTGGAGGATGGGATAAAAAGACAAAGAAGCCAACTAGGTTAGGCATAATTGGTTAAGGACGACGCTCATTCCCTACAAGGGTATTAGTTCAAATTTCGTTCACTGATTTGAGTACTTTGTTGATGAATGATCTGTAATTCATTTCAGAAATTCTCAAAAAATTTGGGATCCGCCCCTTAGGGAACCAATATTTTTCCCCACCTAAACTTTTAATTACCAAAAAAGGAAAAGAGAGTGCTAACATTATTGTAGCATATATCGATGATGACCCAAATATTGGTTAAAAAAAGTACCTGAAGAAGGAGGATGAGAAAGAACCAGGGGCGATGCTGCTGATGTTTCAGTTGTATAATAAAACTTGTACAAATCGTATCTAATATTACACCATGCTAGCAGAGCTCTCGCACCCTGTTTCCCCCCACAACACATAGTAAGAGTTCCGATTGCATTTTGCAAACACTCCTCACACTGATCATTCGTCACGCTGGGAGCGCACTGTTGAGTATCACTCCATTAGTTAACCATTTACTCAGTTAGTTAATTGTCTGTAAAGTTAGTTAACCGTTTACTCAGTTACTCACGCTTACTGTCATGTTCTCATTATAAATACGAGAACAGTGTAACTTAAACGATTGGATGATTCATTCTTACATAATGTCAATTCAGTCTTCTATTTTCTTTGGTCTCGATTCTAACATGGTATCCGAGCTCTTCGAGGAGCTCTGATCGCCATTTTTTTCTTACCTTCGATTCACGTTTCTTGTTCGTGGATTACTTGCAAATTGTCTTGATTCGTTTAATATCTTCTGAAGTTTTTCTCTAATAGCGGATCAGAGCTTTGACGATCAAGGACCTGTGGTAGTTCAGAATTCTAATTTGGGGATAGTTTCAAGAAATGCATCGAAAGCTTTTAATTCTTCAGATACAGGTAGTCCTTACTTCCTTCATCCTAATGAAAATCCTTCACTTGTATCAGTTTCAATGCTCATGAATGGTAAAAACTACCATGGTTAGGCAAGAGCCATGAAAATGGCCCAAATTTCCAAAAACAAATTTTCATTTGTGAATGGAACTATATCAGTACCTAATCCAACAGAACAGAGGTACGACGCATGGTGTAACATCCCCGTCTCGAGCCGGTTCAATTAACATACATATGATAAAACAGAAAACAGCGGAAGACTTAACTTACGAAGATACGAGTTAACTTTTTCTTTTTCTACTTTAATTCTTACTTAGGGTAAACGAAAATCGGGCAGAGTTTCCTCTATAAATCGGACAACCGGGGATTTTCCAATCCCTCTCAGAAGCATTTCCTGATAAACAGTTTATAGAGCATAGTAATCCAGAAGTACCAGTCATGCAGATACAATCAGATACCCATCCATGGGCGCATGCAAAATATGGCTCTGTGCCCCTATCCTAATCAACATGCAATCCAATACGAAATCATAAACTGAATAATACATCATCATATGACGTGCCTGAATACCCAAATGTACATGCATCCAAGTGACAGACATGTACAAAACATATACAGGCCATATACAAAATAAAGGATCAATATCGTGATCCATCAAATGCGGAAATACTAAAAGACATCAAACACTCCAAAAGGTAGTAGCCTACAGCCACTCAAAAGCCGATCTGTCAACTGCCTCAGCCACGTGTCGTGTCCCTGCCTAGTGAGGACTCACCGGGAATCTGGGCACCTGAAAATATGTCCCCAAAGAGGGGTGAGATTACAAATCTCAATAAGCTCCAGGTTTATAGAGAATTCTCCATACCCCTGGCTCACTCCTGCACGAAAGTCAGATACAGAGTATACGAATACAACATATAACAGATATCATAACAGAACAGAGGATTTATCCATATCATATCAGAGGTGTGCGTCGTCATTCCCAAGGGAGGACCCCAAGCGGAAATCAACGCACATGTTCCCGAGGGAGGACCCCAAAGCGGAACCAAACATATCAGAGGTGTACACCATCGGTCCCGAGGGAGGACCCCAAAGCGGACATCCGGGTACCATACAATCAATGGCCAGAGATTGTTACAGAAATCATATTACAGAAGTCATATCAGAGCAAAACATATCATGTTATCAAATAACTCTATATGAATGCATCTATACAAAGCATCTAAATCACAGTCATACAGTCCAACCATAGTTCACTAACCATGGTGGAGCACTCAAACAGGAAAAGACTCCTTAAACATAGAGCTTACCTCTTGAAGCTTTACCAATACGCTTACTTGTGGAACAAGTTACTTTTATCGCTTCAAGAGATTTCCGATCCTTCTCAATCCCTAGGCACACCTAGAGAATAATTTACAATGCATCAATAAAATGATGCAATACCATGATTATTTCATAAGCATACATTTTATCGCTTATTTTCCTTTCTTTATATTTTTGCCAATTCTATGCCAATACACAAGTCTAGACCTCTATACACCCGTTGGCGTTCTTTAATTTAACCAAGCATTTACTTAAGAATTTTTCACATAAATCATGCTATTTTTCTTTAAAAGTCGCGGGCATACCCTTAGGGACTCAAGGTATTTTTCAACCATTTCTCAAAGCATTTCACTTCTTAGCTCATCCATTGGTATATTAAAATGCAACACATTTTATTAGAATAAAATGTAACCAATATATATATATACCCCTAAACATCCTATAGTTCGAAACATAGAGCAAGTATTTGTAGGATTTTTTTTTCTAACTTTGGCATTTCCACCAATTCATCCATTTACACTACATTCCAACATATTTTACCTTTTCAAACATACAATAAAAATTTGCATAATGAACCCTATATAACTCATGAAGGCCGAAACCTAGGGGAAAAATACAATAGGGCTTTTCAATTATTTTATCACATGTGGATACTTACTCAACACTATAACTTCCTAAATAACAATAATCCATCATAATTTTCACATTCTATACTACTTTATTTCCTACCCAACCATGCTCATGACTTTCAAAACATTATTCACACTAATAAAGCCATAAGGTTAGAGTTTTGTTACCTCCAATGAACTACCCAAAGCCTAGAAGGCCTTCACCAAGCAAAGCTCCACCAAAAATGGCATTTCTCCTCCTTGATGAATAGTAGCTCGAAAATGGGGGAAGGAAAAACTCCTCACACACTCAACTATAGCTCAAATTGATTGGTTGAATGGATTCATTGAGTGGTTTCCAATCAATTTCATGTGGTGGGTCTTTGAATTTGGAGAATGAATGATTAAGAAATCAAAGAAAGGAAATTTGGAACCCTAGCCCCTTCTCCTCCAAGTGCAGCTCGGCCATGCATGAGAGAGAAGAAGAAAATCTGAAATGAATAGTGTTTCATTTAAGTGACAAGGCTATATAGGCACATGTGGCCCCTTTCATCGGATGTTTTTTCTATCGCGTATTTTAACTTAAATTGACCCGGAACTAACTTCAAGCTACGAACATATTTTTATTTTTCTAAAATCATTTACATAAATTTTTATCTGTTACAAAACAATATTCATAATTCACAGTATGGTTTCTGCACCGTTTTTGACGAAATGCACTGTGAATAACTAACTGTACTTTATTTACTTTTGAAACTTAACACTTATAAACTTATCATTTTCTTGGGCCTATATTGACTTGCTTGGCATATATTGGACTTTCTTATTCTTATTTCATCAATTATTTATTTCTGGACTCTACCGGTTGCTTAAACAGCAGTACAAAATACTCGGTAGAAACACTATTCACGAGATTTTCACGGAAAGTGCCAGACTATACAATTTTTCGTTCTGAACTCATATTTGTCGTCAGAATTATCAAATTATGTCTCTAAAATTATTTTGCTCTTTTTAAGCTCTACCGGTTAATTCACAAAACTGTAAATTCTCCGGCAGAACGCACTGTTCATAACATAGTCATGATTACAGTCAAAATACTCGAAATCACTCACTAAATCTAATTATGGCATTTAAATCCTTAAATTAAATCTCTAATTAAGATTTACCCTATAGGGTCAATATACATGGGAAAGGTGTAATACCATGGTTGTTTCATGGTTATATCGATCAATAACAGACTCTATCTCTCAGTCAATACTATGGATGGATAGAGCTGAGGACGTATGAAATGATCTTAAAGAGAGGTTTTCTCAATCTGATGTTTTTAGGATTTCAGATTTATAAGATGACTTGTACAAGTTACATCAAGGTGATAATATTGTTTCTGATTACTACACCAAGCTTAAGATAATGTGGGATGAGTTGAAAGCATTGCAACCAACACCAACGTGTAGATGTATTCAACCTTGTTGTACAATTTCTGCAGATGTCAAAGGAATTCGAGAAAGAGATTACTCGATTCGATTTTTGAAAGGATTAAACGATCAATACTCTAATGTGAGGTCTCAGATAATGTTGATGGACCCTTTGCCATCAGTTAACAGAGTTTTTTCTCTGGTAATGCAACAAGAAAGGCAATTGAAAACAGAAGAAATTGTTGTTAATCAAGATATTCATAGATCTTTTTACAATTTTGTGGAACAAGCTCAAGGTAGAGAACAGTCATATCCACGTGGGAGAGGACGTGGTGCTTTTAATGGAAGAGGAAGATTAGGTTCTTCTCGGCTTTGCACCTATTGTGGGAAAATAAATCATACAATTGACACTTGTTTTGAGAAACACGCTTATCCTCCTGGTTTCAAACCAAAAGGATTCATACACAAGGCCAATGCAGCAACTTATGGCATTGATGAAGTACAAAGTATTGCTGAGAAGAACAACAATTTTTCACAAGCTGATGCAAAGGAAAATTTTACGAAGGAGCAATACCAAACTATTTTTTATATGATACAGCACACAGTACAAGGTCCTCATGTTAGTAATCTGGTACAGGCTAAGTCTCCTCATGCTAGTAATCTGGTACAGGCTAAGGCTCTTAATGAAAAAAGCACAGAAACTTCGTCAGGTATTTCTAGTTCTCAATGGATTTTAGACACGGGAGCTACAGATCACATCACTAGTACATGTGCAAATATGTCTAACATTCAGAGAATTAAACCTATTGCAATTTTTTTGCCTAATGGAAGTCAAGTACTTTCTTATTTCTCTGGCACAGTAGTGTTTTCGAAAACTCTGAGATTAACAAATGTCCTATATGTCAAGGAATTCACAGTGAATTTGCTATCAGTCAATAAACTGATAAGGGATTCTAACTGTCGTGTGATTTTTCAGCATCCAATGTGTATTATTCAGCAAATTCCATCCATGGAGAGGATTGGTTCAGCTGAATTAATGAGAGGCTTGTACGTGCTGCAGCATACAAATTCTGCCAATCTCATTTGTGATCATGCAATAAAGGATAGTCATCCTTGTAATAGTAGTTTTACTGTACCATCTAAACCCATTGATATGTGGCA